TAGAGGGAAGAGACTAGACTGATGGGCCGAAAGTCACTAACTCTATTTGCTTCCACTTTCTTCGGGATAAGGCACACATAAGTTTCATTCGTGCGCGAATTTATGATGCGTTCTTAAAAAACTCTTGGAACACTCTAAGGAGATCGACCTTCAAAATGTTCCAAGCTTTTTTATAGAACTCTGCAGTCATACCATCAGGACCCGGAGACTTTAAGTTTCCTAAACTCTTCACTGCCCTATACACTTCTTCTTCCGTGAACGGGGACTCAATCCACTCTTTCCAATGCAGATTTAGAGGGGACCACTCTAGATCTTCGAAAATAAACCTTGTCCCATTTGCTCTAGTATACAAATTAGTGAAGAAGGATAAGATTTCCTTTTCAATTTCATTATCTGAGGAAAGGATCGTCCCATTGACATCAATCAAAGAATGAATGACTGCTTTGTTCCTCCTAGCCGAGATCCATTTATGGAAAAAATGGGAGTTCTCATCCCCTTCTTTCAACCATTGAAGCTTGCAAGACATCTCTACTCCCTCCTACTCCCTCTAACTTGAGGATAGCTCGGTGGGTAAGACATCTCTACTCCCTCTAAGGAGTTGGAAGGTTCAAATTTCCATATTCTTTATAAAAAAAACCATCTTCAAATTTACCTTATCAACATCTGGCCGCTCCTCGCGATCCACCTGCTCCACCAACACGGCCAAATCTTAAGAAAGCAGAACAAAAAATGGATTTCCACATCTTTAAGATAATCAAGCTATGGAAATTGGAAGGACCATCTAATTGGTACTAATTTGAGCTGACCTTGATACTGATAAACCAATCATTCAACAGTTTGGCTACCTCCTCGTTCTCAAAAGATTCAACTTCCATGACATGGCACCTAATACATAAATTTTCATCCAACAAGTGACAAGTCTCGGTTATTCACATTTTGCACCCTCAAGAAAAAAACCAGACATAACACTTGAAAAAAACCAATAAAAGACCTCTCACCAATGGCAGGTGCTGTATCCAACTTCAGCCACAACCAGCACAGCAAAAAAGGAAAAAGAAAAAAAAAAGAACAATGAATCAGCCTCACCATGAATCAACTAAAAGAACTTTGATCTGTAAGCAAGATTTAGATTTACTAGATAAGAAGATAGGCACGTTTCTCTTCCGGGCTTCCACAAATGCTTCTTCTCCCCATGGATACCAATTGACCTTAAAACACACAGTTAAAAGTAAAACCCATCATTCAAATCAATCAAATCCAACCCCATCTGGTTCATAACCCTAAAAAAACAACAAACACTCAACCCTCTACCAATCATCAAGAACAGCCACCGAGTAAAGAAGAACAGAGAAGCTGAGTTACCGGATTGTGAGCGTGCTGCAGAAGATAAGGACTGTGCTCAGCGGCAAGGCGATTGGAATACTTGTGAGAGTGAGAAGTAGAAGCAGGATGAGAGGAGTGTGCAGCCATGGGTGTACAGAAACGGTCGGTGAATGGAAATGGGCGTGTAATTGGTGGGATTTTGGAGGGGGTGGGGCGGCGGAGGAAGCGGTGGAGGGAAGAGGAGAGGGGGAGTTTTGTGAGCATAGAAAAGAAGAATCTGGAGTGAGAAACGGAAGAATTGGAGAAAGAGGGATTTGGGGGTTAAAGAGAAGGCGCCATGTGTGAAGAACTGGAGGCGATGACGATGACGATGCAGAGAAGCCATGCGCTTGCGTTGATCTGATGGAAGTCGGGTCCCTCCATCGCTGGCTTGCCAAGTGGAGCACTTGCCGGTATCGCGCGCGCAACAGAGTACAGGAAGATTTTTTTTCATACTTGTAGTCACAACAAAAGTTCTCTACTTTTGAGTTTTGAGATAAATATGTAATGTCTTAGGTTTAGTGAACACTTTGTACCATGAGACATACACAACTCGTCCTCCTTTAATATAATATATTATATCTGGAAGTAGACATTCGAACTCACGACCTTTTAGTCGGAAATAGGTGATTTAACCTATTTAGGTTGGTCATGGGATACCACAAGTCACACATTCATATTTTTTTTATAAATACCGAAATGTGTTACAATAACAGATATGTGACATCATCCTTGTTTAGCTCGACACCGCTTTGGTTTAAATACTAATTTAAGCATCGAGTAGGTTGGGCACAACACCACAATGATGTGACTTCTCGTAAAGTTATCTCCTTGAAAGGATGCTTTTCACCTTGGACTAAATGTCAGCAAACTCCACCTATCACGTTGGCAGTAAATGACATATGCTTCTTTTCGAGGTCGACGGTTCAATTTCTACGCTCCAGACTGAAGAAAAGTATTTAATTAATTAATGTAATGAATCACTAGTAGCATGTACGAATAAGACTTTGTTCTTTTTTTAGAGATAACAAAAGTTTAAAGTCCTTAATTTAGACATTAAACTATTAACACTAAAGTGTTAATAGATTCCTAAAACTTAAAAATGTCTGCAACAAATTTTGACTATTTTATTTTGTAATTAATAAATCTATAAGGAATTAGATATTTTTATAAAGTTATGGACCTTTTAAAGCACATACTTAAAAAGTAAACAAAAATATTTGTATTAAGTGGATTTTAAAAAATGTCTAATAGGGTAAGACCTATTACACAAATTTGAGAGTTCGAAACATATTTGACATCTTTATAATTCAGGGATCTATTAAACACAAATTCAATAATTTAAGAGGTATATTAAACATTTCATAAACTTCATGGATTAAATTTGTAATTTTACCAATAATATATCAATTAATTGAAAAAGTAAAGTTCTTGGTGTAAGCGCAAAATTATACCCATATGAGCATAGGGTCTAGTCGATCGTTGATATTTTTTTTTATATATATATAATTTAAGCACAACAAATGTGGAATGAAAAATTGAATTTCATATTTTTATAGGAGGAGCGAGATGTCTTGAACTATTTATTGAGGTTGAATTATAAATATGAGAAAATTTTAGAGTTATTAATATGGATAAAATTTAAAAGATGAAATAAAAAATAGATTTGTAGAGCGCATCTACAAACTATAAATATGAGAAAATTTTAGAGTTATTAATATGGATAAAATTTAAAAGATGAAATAAAAAATCAATTTGCAAAGCGCATCTACAAACTATAAATATGAGAAAATTTTAGAGTCATTAATATGGATAAAATTTAAAAGATGAAATAAAAAATCGATTTGCAAAGCGCATCTCAACTTTTTTCGGTTTAACATAACTAAAAATAATAATTAAATACTAATAACTATTGAAAAAGTATACCCTTTTAGGCTAAATCATCAATTTCATTAAAATGTCTTAAATATTTGATATTCTCTGAGTACAAATCCATTGGATTTGATATTTGTTTTTGCAATATTACATTATAGATTAGAGAAAAAGAGTGAAATACGACCACTTAATAAACTACGTCCAAACTAATTGTTGGTTTTGATTTTTAATACTAAAAGTCAATATAAGTATATTATTGTATTTGTTATTTACACCGTAATATTGTAAAGTAAAAAAAAAAATCAAGACTTAGTGATGCAAGCTGAAAGTGATAACATCAACCAGTCGAGAAATATTTGAGCCATTTGTCGATGATTCAGTTTTTTAATTATAAAACCAAAAATTAAATTTCTTTTGGATAATAGTTTTAATTTGTTTGCTTTTATTGTTTATTTTTTGTTGGTTTGGTTATTAGAGAATTGTTATATCTTGATAGTGATTTGGCCCTCCTAAAACGATCTACTAAATTCATCTGAGTTATTCCAAATAATCAAAATGCTCGGTTACTAATGAAATTTCTTGTAAACTCTGTAAAATGAAGGACAGCGATTATGATGTAATAGAGAGCATGTCTTCTCCCACACCCAAAATAGCGTTCGCGCATAACCTATCCTGGAGACAAATAAGAATATATGTCCATCGATAATAGAAGTTACATTGGTAGGAATGAAACATCTCTCGATTGGGCCTTGTAAAGCAGTCATTCTTCCTTCACCTAAAGGAGAACTACGAACTACGTGCCTCAATCTAGAATTTAGAGACTATTTTAATCCCTTTCATTTACATGATCAACCAAACCAGACCACGACCGATATCAACCAAGATGCACATGAGATTTACACACATCCCAAAACCGACAAAGATCATGCAAAATAAATCGAGATTGATCAAAACAACAGTTCACAAGCTATACATTCATGGAAGAACATGTAATTAATTTCATAATGCCACATCAACATCATAATCTAATCTTAGTGGGGATGGGTTAATTTTCTTTTCTCCCTCTATTTTCAGACCACTGGCGCCAAAAGAAAAAGAAAAGAAAAAAAAAACTCAAATGGGTATAATCTAGTACGTGTACAGAGGAAGCATGAATAATGGTGGATGATTTTTTTTTACCTCGTATCACATTTGATATGGCCCCTAATATTGGCAAGAAATGGTAGAAATTCAAGTGGCTGAAGCCACAGCAGACTGAGCCAGTTCTTCCAGGAGTTCTTTTTGTTCCATGGCAGCACATGCCTTGATTTGGAGGGTGGGAGGGAGGGAGGATTATGAATTTTCTCGCTTTTTCCATTCAAATGATAATTGAAATGGACACAAAAAGTGGATTAGAGAGAGAGAGTAGTGAGAGAATCATTACCTGAACTGCATTCTCTATATCACCCTCGAGAAAGGATGTGAGCTCGAAGTTCATCTTCAACCGGTGATCGGTGACCCTATTGTCCTAATAAGTGAAATCCAAAAGTTAATGACTTCTATAGAAATCATCAGACTATTTTCATCAAATTTTATGATAAACTGTGCTTCATTTCCTCCCTGAACTAGAGACTAATGATACTTTCACAAGTTGAATTTCATCATTGGCATAGTATAGGTTATATGGTTTCCGTGTTGATTTGTGACATAATCAGTGTTTCAAACACTTTTGCATAATGTTTATAACAAGTTAACACTTCTCATTAGCAATCGGGATAAAGAAATCTTCTCGTAATCACCTGTCTGATTTTTATAAATTCCAATGCAAAACGGTATGCAAGGTCATATTTTTACTGCGTTTACATGCACTTTTTTTTCCTCTTTTTCCTTTTCAACATCTTTTTGTTAACCGTATGGATAGCTTGCTTTATGACAGGCACTCTATTCCTTTCATCTTTTTAAAGTCAGAAAGAAAAATAATATCATACCTTGTAATTGTAGGTCCGTATTTTCTCAGCACGGGCTCCGGTACCAACCTGCAACAGAACTTTTAGAATGAGGAATACACAGTAATGAGAAGAAATTGATTGGCTAATCAAATTACATTGAGAAGCTACAATCAGATATTAAAGTTTCTTTAACAGATTCAAGTTGATCCAACCCCCTAGCAATAGTGTGCATGAAGTTTCATCATCCACAGACTCTGACAACCAATTTTGACATGTCTGTGAGGAGACAGAACAGAGGATGATAACAAATTCATAAGATGAAATGACTGATCAGATTAGCCTTGATTGCTTTTGTGAGTATAACAAAACATGAAACCATCTACTGCTGGTGGAATTGCCTTGCATTAATGCGGCAAATACTTACTTTCAGATAGAGAGTTACCGGGTTAGCATATCGTAAATTGAACAAAGGTTCAATGACTTTTGGTGTTATGGTGAAATAGATTCTTTAATTACAACAGAGAAAGACGAACGACAAAAGATTCCCATAATATAGAACAGTCGTATTTGTGCACCTAAGACTCCAAGTAAAGGATTGTTTTTATGTTTCATCCAAATTGCATCTTGCATAATGGACATGTCTCTATGCAATAATGCTACCGATGAAATTGTATGCTTAGTTAGAAATTAATTGAGACTGGAAATTACTTGAGAAAATGGAAAGTAACAGCTCTTTGTTTTCTAGGCAAACTTAAATATATCATGACAGACTGACAGTAATAACTTTAGAAACTACTGTCTGATGAAAGCGGCTCATACACAGCCCAAATGCAGAACCGAGAGGGTACTGAAAGGGTGTTATTTGCTAAGTATAGTTAAATATTAACTACAATTAAAAAAGAAAAATAAAAACTTCACAGCAATAGTTACTTGTAATTTTCGTTGATTCCTGATCAGCTCCTGCTGCTCCCTGACTTTGATCTCATAACTGGGAAAAAAAAGTATTAAATTCGTGCATTACACGATGTTGAATCCAGCAAAACTATCACTGTCCAGCGTCCACTATGAAAGCCAAGTTAATATAAATTAGGAAAATGTAATTTTCTTTTGAAAGATTAATGTAAAAAGATTAAATAGTAAGTTTAAGGAACCAATAACTTGGGTGAAAGTCAGCATAGATCAGGGTACAGGTAACCCTGATGCTGACTGTTGGTAGAGGTGGGGCCTAAAAAACCAACTTCTTTCTTTGCACAAAAGAACCAACCATCTGACAGGATCGGAGGTGGCTGGCAAATGGGAAATGACTGGCTAAAGCCTGAATGCATGGGGTGCAATCGTGACAAAAGACAGAGAGGAAGAGGTATGGGTGGGGGTTGGATGTGAACAATAGGTTGTGGTGGTGGGTGTGAGAGCGAGATGAACAGAATTATCTTTTCTTTATGCCTCGGCCTCAGTTGGTTTTAAGGACTGCGCAAAACTAAACTCCAACTGTACGAATGTTGGGTTATTCGGTTTTTTCAAATTGTTTTATTTCACCCATGCCAGTGACAAGCCTAACTACCTTGGTACATGGAAATGGCAATAAAGAGCCCTCGATTATTTGAGAAAATCATAGAGAGGCAGGTCCTTCAGTTATGTGTTTCCAGAAAAATACAGGTATTATATGAATGAAGTGCACTTAAGGTATATGGTATGATGGCAAATACTTGTGATGTAAATGATATGGATACTCACAGTTTGGCTCGCAGCAGCTGAAAAGCTCGATGCTTGTTCTGAAGTTGAGTCCTTTCTTCAGTGCAAAAAATGCGGATTCCTGTTGGCTTGTGGAAAAGATCAATTGCTGTCTCCACTTTGTTGACATTCTGCCCTGCACAACAATTGAGGAAAAAATTAATAAATAAATAAGTTATTTTACCATTTTTCTTGGTTTTATGAGAACATATAAAGCCAACCAAAATGTAATATTTGAGTCATTTATGTAGATTTATACCTCCAGCACCCCCAGATCTTGCAGTTTGTAGTTCAATGTCTTTTGGATCAATCACTACCTCAACTTCATCTGCCTAGATGCAAGTATACATAAGCTCAACCAATCAAGATAAAATATAGCTGATCAAGATGGCAATGCAGGGAGGACAACAGAGTCAAATGAATAGAAGTTATCATATCCAAATCAATGGTACTCCTAAAGAGAAACAGTATAGACACTACCAATATCAACTAATAAATTTAAAGGATAATTCTGTGATGTGTCAGAACTCCATGTTAAGGCTGTCTGTAGTATGTCAGAACAACTTAATTAGTGATCCCACATTAATCCATCTTCTATGGATTTCTAAAGCAGAGGTACGATTTTTTCACATTATAATTGCCAAAGTCTATAAAACTCGAAGACTATCCTGTTAATAACAGAGTACAGATCAGAGACCTTTAAAGGGAAAGGGAGAAAGGCAAACTCCAAGAATTAATAGTTGTCTAACAGTCCAGGATAAAATTAGCAAACTCACGTAATGTTCCTCCAGACACGTCTGATTGAGGCATCCAATTCCTCTTTTACAAGAATCAGAAAATTATATTTCAAAATTCAACAGTAAATTAATGAAATAGTTTACCTCGGGCATGATGGCTACTGTAGCAGTAGAAGTATGCACACGGCCCTGTGTTTCTGTTTGAGGAACACGTTGAACCCGGTGAACACCAGACTCATATTTTAATTTACTGTAGACACAGTTTCCTTTGATTTCCAACACATAAGTTTTGAATCCACCTTTTTCAGCCTGAAAAGTGAAACATGCAAGTTCTTTTACACATACAGAAAGCACTGAGATGTTTACTACTTCTGGGATGTTTGGAAACACATACCTCGGAACTTGAAATGGGGGAGAACTTCCAAGAATTCCGCTCACTGTACTTCTGATACATACGGACCTGTTATATAATTCGGAGAGATGAGAGGAGAAGAAATGATAACAGAGAAAAACACAGAGGATAAAGGGAGGGTAGAAACAAAGCAGTACAAGACGTATCAGAAAACTTCAGAACAAGTTAGTTTAAGCCTAACTATACCAATTTTATACAATTAAAGGGCCTAACAAGTTAGGAAGAAGAATATTGGAGGTAGATCATCCCAAAGAATCTGTTCACTTGGCATGACATTTCTTATAGAGATATCATGTGACTTTCTTTTATAACCAATATTTTTCATGTTACTCTATTGTATGGGCAACCAGAAAAGTATTATATGCACAATTTATCCATAGTTCTTTAAGGATAAAAGAAGCATGTACCTACAAGATCACCAGCCCAGATTCCAGCTTCATCACCACCTGTACCTGCCCGCACTGCATGGCAGGGAGGAAAATTGCAATTTAGGTTTAGTCGGAATAAACAAAAGCCATAAAAATAAGCAGTTTAGGTTTATCGAATTCTAATTGTCCAATAAGTATATCATGTGTTGCACAATGGGAAATATATAACCGTCTAAAAATGTATGTTAAAATTTGTCAATATTCAGATGGCATAAAATTTCAGAGGAAATTTAGGGAGACCTTCAAGCATAATATTTCTCGCATCAAGAGGATCAGATGGGAGCAACATCACCTGATAAAGAAAATTGTGACAAAATGTCTTCAGATTCAATTCAGAGAACTGTAAGAAGTAACTTACAAAATAACAGGAAATGACTAGATTCCCCAACAAAAGAAAACAATCAAACCATAATAATGAAAGAAAAAGCCGGTATTTACTTGTAAAAAACTGACCATCAGAAAAGAACCAAGTTAGGTCACCGCTTGTCCGTTTCAGGAATTTGATAATTTTATCAACATTAAGAAGAAGAAAAGGATAATAAAGTATTCATGAATATCCCTAAATAAATAAAAAAAGGACGCATTTAGACATGCATTGCATCGGAACAATTTTACTGATGGAATGAAATTACAAAAAAAAAAAAAAAAAGAAAGAAAGAAAGAAAGAAACTACTCCAATGGGATATAAGAGCGCTCAAGCTATAATTCAAAAGGAAGAAACATTCTTACACCAAAGATCAAGACATGGAGAAATAACCAGAATCTGTACATAAGCTTGTTAAAATCAGAAAATGAAAATTCTTAACCATGAACTGTGAAGGGTTGAAAATCAAGACCCTCCCCCCACTCCAATCGGGGAAACAAAATGACGACGAGAGAGAGAGAGAACTAAACACACATTAACATTAATAAAAGTTCATTTCTTATCCAAATTATACACACACATTATTGTCATGTTTATGAACTAAAAGCACCTTAAGCTTCTCCTCAAGATCTTTGAGTTGACTGGACAAAGAATTGATTTCTAAAGCAATCATCTCTGCCATATCCTCGTCATTTCCACTCTCTTTCGCCAAAGCTGACATGATAATCATGACAAAGAAGAAGAAACTAAGACCACGACAAAAAAAAACAAAAAAAGAAAATCACAAATTCTTTTAAGAATAAACACTTATAAGTCAACCTTTTGTCTCCTCTAACTGCTTCTCACATTCCTTGAAATTTCTGAAAGTTGATACCACCTATCCCGCCATCCCACACCAACCAACCAAGAGGAATAATGTAATGTCAGTGTTGAAAGGACAGAGGAAAAAGAAAAGAAAAAATAATCCCTTAACTGTTCCATATAAATCATAGTATTAGAGGCAGATGATCTTGCTATACCTCATCAAGCTCTGACATTGATTGGGCAAATTTTTGATACTCCGTGGGATTCGAGACAATATCTGGATCAGCCAGCTTGACCTAAATAATTATATCAACAATGATTTTAGTGGGGAGAATATTGTAGCAACAACCAAAAGCATAACTGGCGAATACACTACAGATGTAAATGCAAATTTTTAAAGGTGACTTTAGAGAATGCAAAGGGAAGAAACTGGAATACAATTAATACACCAAGGTCCTAGATTTTATGCATAACAAGCTTCATTGTTTTTACAATTAATACAGAGATTCCAGATACACCAAAAGTCCAAGTTTCAAGAGAAAAACAGTAGTTAAAAAATAATAGTGAATACTGAAGAATGTCCAGTCCAAATCTCAAGGGCAGTAGCAAAGCAAGGAATTATGAGTTTATAGTCAAATCCAAAATACATTTCTTGCATTTTGCCTTATAATCCATTTCAATATTGGGCATATAGATAGCGTCCCTAGAGAGGACGATCTCCTTCCTCTTCTTCAGTTGTTAGTACTCTAACAGGAACTAAGTGGAATGGTTGAGCACCCAATTTACTTATTTTAAAAATTTAGAAGTGCCGAGTAGACTTATAGTCATTGCAGAAATGATAAACAGAGTTAAGTATCGCCATAGTTTAACTAAACTGCAAATTATGAATCCTGACATCTTCAAAAAACAAAAACGCATAATTCAACAAAGCGTGATAATTCTAAAAGCTCGATTTTTCCAAGACATATCTTAGCTACTTCTCCCATTCCATCAATGTTCACTCAGGAGAAAACGAAGTTCAATAACACTTGTATTTAACCTACCAAAACTTCGAGCCAGAAGCTAACAATTATTTTCATCCTAAACTACACATTTATAAGCTCAAAATCGAGGAGAAATTGTTCTTCCAAGTACAATTACAGGATATTTGATAAAAAAAATTGATCGCACTTCCACTCAGAGAACGAATTAAAGTGTTACTGAACTACAAATCAAAGCGTACCGATAATTCTTTCCACGTCTTCTCAGCAGATTCCAGCTTCACGATCAAATAAGGCTCCTGAAACGAATTAAAAGATAAACATCATTTGCCACAAATCTTATCCAGGCTCGTTTCACCAGAAACTCACTTCCAACCACTTCAATGAAAGAAAAAGTAGTGAACTCGAGGCACGAAGAAACTCAAGTTCAGATAAATTCAGTCCAAACAATAAGATGGCATTTTCTTCTCGAAAAACAGAGCATTCCAGTAATCTATCCAAATTTATCGGTCGGAAATTGTACGAACCGCCATGCAAATGACTGTTGAAGCTCGATACAGAGGTGCAGAACGTTTGAATTCAAGAGAGCATCTTCTTGAGAAGTCACTGTGTCGCGGCGGAAGTAGAAAACAGCCCGGACACGTCCGAGCTGCGGAGGTCGGAGAGAAAATATTCATGGCTGCTACTGAAATTCGGAGCAGAAACAGAAGGGAGAGGATAAAAAGATAGATAGAGTGATGGATGCAGTGGCAGTTCCTGTGTGGTGTTTGGAAACTGGAACCAGAGGACCTGTTTGGTACGTTGGATATCGTATCCGACGCCCGGATACATCTTCTTTTTTATCTTTTTATTTTCCTTTTTACTTCTTAACGTGATATCCACCCAGTCAACTAACAAATAGTCGAGAACCTACTTCAACGGTTAAGATATTGACTTTTTCTTTTAAGATTGGAATTTCAAAAATTGTCTCTCTACCATTTATTGTATTAAAAAAAGTCATAAGGTTATTACTCGACATGAACATAACTAACTCAATTTCTTCTATGTGATAGATTCAGAAGAAAAAAAAGAACCTGTGAGTTACTAAATATTTTAACTGTTTGAACTATGTTCATGTGAAAATCTCTGTATTTCTTAAAACATTCATGATAATCACACTTGAATTAACAATTACATACTTATAATTAGAGATTTTCATATGCTTGATTCTATTAAGGGAATTTTTTTTATCTAGTTAAATTGGAAAAAAAATATATATGTAGTATGTCTATAGTATCATCATACTCCCTTTTTTTCTTTTTCTGAAAATTCATCCACTCCCTTTTATTTTCTATATAGATACATAATAATTGATATATTGTTTTATTTTATGAACCACATTAGAGTACCTGAATTAGGTTTTATCATCGACTTATTTGAGTGAGAGACTTTGTTTTGAATAAACATATTTAAATATATTACCTAAAAAAACATATTTAAATAGATACTAGATTCAACTTAAATATGAATTTATTTAAGACATTCAAAAGGGAAAAAAAAAATAGTTCAAATTCATGATTCAACTTATGAGAAGAGGCAATAGTTATTAATGTTTTGAATCAATTGAATTGGACACATCCATAAAATATTTAGATGAAGTCAATTTTGGATATTTTGGTCACTTGCTTACCATAAAAATATATACACATCAATTTTCCCACTAATTTTATTTCCAAGCCTACTTTATCTTATTGAATTTTACTACAAATATATTTAACTTACTAATTTGTTTATTTATTTTCGATAAAAATATTAAAATGACCCAACAAAAATTAAAAGAAAACTAAAAAACTGAAAGCAAATCTGAACTGATCTCACCATCCTCATTTAAAATAACATAAATTAAATTAATTCAAACATAAGATTGATCTCGAAACTTTACGAAATAATATATATATATATATATATATATATATATATATATATATATATATGACATAACAAATACAGAAACTAAATTCAATGAGTAATAAATGTTCCTTAGAAAATAGAGGAAGATGGAAGAAAAATAAAAGACAATCAAATTAAAATAAGGATATTTGAAGAAGAAAATGGGCCTGATTTTCGGGCCTCCTTAAATGGGCTTATCCACCTCATATTTTTGGGAAATTTAAGTCAATTTTTTTAAAATATTTTGTAAGTATGTTTTGTTTAAAAAATAGTTGTAAATATTTTGTTCAACTTGGTAGGTTGCATAAAATTGATCATATTGATAGAGTTATATCATAATTTAACCTATTTATTTCGGTATTTGTTAATGTCATTGATAGAGTTATAATCTCATAGTCAATATTGGTATTTTTCTAAATACTATTTTTGGTTGATGTACTCTCAATTTTAATTCATTTTTATCGTCGTATTTTTAAAATATCTATTTTAGTCAATGTATTTTCGAAATATTCCTTAAGTCCATTTACTTTTAAAAAGTTAGAGAAACTGTCTTCTATGAGTCATATTAGAAACATATTTCACAAATAGCTTGTGTTTTTAGATTTTTACATATTTGAATTTCAAGATTTTAATTTGATATCTATTTCAGATTTGCTCTCAATTAATATGATTTAATAAAATCTATTTTTTATTTAAATAATTAGTTTTAATATTTATTTAAACGTTACCATATTTAGTTTCCATGTAATGAATATGAAATATTCAAAAAATTTAAATTCATTATCTCGTGGGACCCACCCGTTTTATTTCTGATTTTTCTCTAACTAATAATAATCTCTAAATCCTTCCATATACAACAAAAACTCTCTGATTCTCTGTTTACCTACTAATTGTAAACCGTCACTACATTTTTATGCGATGTCTTTTTTTTTCAACGTATTATTTTAGATAGTATGATAAAAATATACGACTTCAAAATATTCTTTCTATATTTTAATTATTTATTTCAATAGTACGATAAAATATATACTCAGTTCTATAATATATATTTTTTGTCGTCCCTAATGAATAGTTTGGGTGGCTTGGGGCTTCAAGGAATATCCTTGAGGTCTTGCTGCATATGTTGGGACCTCCTAGGTTGACGTCGCTTACGTTGGTTTCGAATGGATTCCATCTATAATGTGGCAAATTTTACTTTGTTCGATGGAAGGATTATCTTGGAGTGGCCTCTTGTCCTTCACTATTTATGCAAAAAAATTTAAATTTGAAAATATTGAAGATTTTAACTTTAATGTTTAATATTTGAATGAAGATGTTTTCTAGAAAGAAAAGATTTATCAATCAGATTTATAATTTTTTAAAGAAACATTATTGATTTTTTGATATTTGACAAAGATTCTAACAACATTTAGAACCAAAAAAAAAAAACTGTACAAAATAATCTTAAGTTTTAAAAAACAATGATAATAATTGATATTTGGTCAAACTAATTAATCCCGTTCAAACCTGAACTGGATTTGGTTTTGCAAGTGCCTTCAATGAGGGTGGAAGTCTAATCCAACAAATTTATTTATTTTATTTTTCTTTCTACAAAATGACAAAAATTGTTAAATGATCAAAATTGGGGTATTTATGTCAATATCGAGTTATTCACTTAGGCTGCCTACCAAATTTAAAGACTAGAGAGAGGGTGAAAATGTGATTAAATATTATCTTAGTTTTTATAATTTTTTCTTTTACCTATTTTGTTTGCTTATTTTTAAGACCCTGTTTTATTTCTTTAGTTTACTGTTTTTAGAAATTATTATTGGTTTTTCACTATTTATTTGGTAGGTTTTTCACTTGTACATATTTAAACTTTTAGTATTTTTTATGTTTTGAAAATTATTCTTTTAAAATTCCACTTAGATTTTTAAAATGTTTTAAAAAAGTTGAAAAAAATACATGGATGAAAGTAGGGGTTGAAAGCTTAGTCTTAAACAACATAATAGTTATCAAATAGGTCAATGTTTTGTTTTGAATATCGAATTTTCAAAAATACCCACTTTCATATTTTACATAACTAATGTACCAAATATCAAATATATCACTGATATACTTCATACCTAAAATAAAATATATCACTCATATAGTTGATAGATCAAATCTATTGATAATTAGTTGATGTTAAATTAGTTTTTTATTAGTTTTCTTACTCCACGTGTATACATGTGTACTCTATGAAACACATTTTCCCCTCCAACTAAGCTTTCAATAGGGTATCATCGATATATCACTGATATACTTAATATTAGATAGACAGTTTTTCTCGTTTTCATAAAATCGTCCCTACGTTTAAGACTATAATTGATTTTTCTATTTTTTTTTTTTCCGTTTGAGATGGGCCTCCATTTTTTAGTAATTAACTACTATTTTTTTATATATATATACTTGGAGAAATTTCTATATTTGCAAATTATTTTTTAATGTAACACAAAACAAATAAAAAAGGAGGGCTCCCACTTAGCATCCCATCCTCGGATATAGAATTCTTACAGAATCATAAAAACCGTGGGCTCTACTTACGTTTTCTTTTTCCTTTTTATTTTTCAATATAATTATTTCTTCCCCAGCACTATTATTTTCCCCACAACTTTTGATCTACTTTCATAATTCCAATGTCCCATTCATTCAATTCTAGGGAGGGAACCCAATCCAATGTTTTTTAAAAAATAATAACATTATTTTTTGCATATCATTCAATCAAATTGTGAAAAGATATTTGATTTATAACCCGAGATTAAAGTCGAGTTTATATTGGATATGTGTGTTATGGTCTATTATTGTTCTGAACTACGATTAAGTTTATCAACCTTGTGTTGCAGAAAATTCGTACTTATGAAACCCACTTCTTTTTATGTTAGATATTAATTACTTTTATACGAATATATCATAGACTCATGAGTAAAAAACACACTTTGTTACACACCCTCAAATTTTTACAAACATTCATCACTTTGTATAATAAAACATAGATTTGTATATAAAGTCAGTTTCCTCAATTAGGAGCTTATTAAAATGGTTAATCGAATCTCTTTAATTGATTTTAATGATGGAAAATATACATACATATACAGCGGAAGCGAGCAAGGATCGAAATAACAATCTAGATGCATATTACAACTTAAGATTAAACATGCATGATCATACATTATGATGCTTAGAGAAAGGTAGAGAAAATTACATACCTTTGTTTTTTTAAATAGTTCCAATGAGAACCACCAAGAGGTCTTCCTAGTTATTCTCAAGGTTTGGAATAGAGTGGTAGAACTCTTTTTAGAAAAGGAGCTAAAAATAGTTATGTAAGTTTTTTTCAAAACCATCAAATGACCAAAGGTTCCAACAGATTTCAATGTTTGAACAAAGACCTGTTAAATAGGCAAATTACATGCAACTTTTGCATGTCAAAGTTCACCGAAAGCTTACAACAAATATTCCACTCATGCATGGCGTGATTAAGTGTCAAAATGAATGTCTACGTTCATCAAAAGCTTACAACACACATTTCACTCATGCATGTCATGATTAAGTGTCAAAAAGTGGATTTTTTGAGATTATTTAAACGTTCCACTCAACAAGTTAGTGGAATTTTCCACCAACTTGGTTAAAAACATTATTTTAATTTTCTTAGTCAACCTTTGACTTTCTCTAGTAAAAGTCAACTATTTGACTTTTTCCGAAATCCGACTGTTTGACGAAATCCATGCCTCCGATTATGAATCTGCATTCATAATTTTAATATTTAAATCCTATTTAAAAAATTTTGACCAAAT